GTTGTGTCCTTGGGCAAGACACTTAACCCACCTTGCCTGCTGGTGGTGGTGGTGGTCGGAGGGACCGGTGGCGCCTGTGCTCGGCAGCCTCGCCTCTGTCAGTGCACCCAGGGCAGCTGTGGCTACATCGTAGCTCATCCCCACCAGTGTGTGAATGTGTGAGTGAATGGGTGAATGATTGTGTTGTAAAGCGCCTTGGGGGGTTCCAGGACTCTAGAAGGCGCTATATCAAATACAGGCCATTTACCATTGTACCTTTAACCTCTAGAAATATCCATCGAAATTTTGTTAAAAGTTACTTACAGGGAGACGAGGCAGTTTTGGCTTGATTTTAACACCCTCTAGTGTCTGTAGAACCAAAAGCAAAACCTATCTCCGCGCTGTGCGTTCTTTTTAACACCTTAGTCCAACAGCTGAAACATCTCCCCAGTCTTCATTAGTGTCTACAGGAGCGACTCATCACTAAATTAAACAAAGCAGCTGTGCTCTTGATCTAAAGCACGCAGGAAACGTGTTGGAAGCAAGCTGCAGCACCAGGTATGTCATCTCCATCCAAGTGGAATATTCTGGCCAACAGGGGCTGGGTGGCTTTCATTAACCCTGTAAAGGGTTATTTAAAGGCAATTAATACAGGCTCAAGAAAATGATTTTAAAATATGAAAATGTGGCAAAGTATCCCTTAAAATGATGCCAAGTTGTTAACATATAACCTTAAAAATTGGGTCCAAGTCTCTGGGCAACGCCATATTTGACACCATGTTTCCTCCTACATGAGCCTGTGAGGACAAAACGCATTTACTGATTTGTAACAAGCGGTTATAAAACTTTCGCCGTTCTTAAACATTGTTTTACACATTAACCTCTTCACTCATTGCCAGTGATGAAAGGGATTCTGATGTCATTTAGCTGGAGGTTGAACAATCTGACGAAGTACTCGGTTGGAAATTGCACTCCCATGGAATTTTGACCCTAATGACAAGTGGTACGGTCTTACTCATGTAGGGTTAAATATTGTTGTTTTTAAGCTTAATATATTACCTTAACTTATGACCAATAAGCTGTGATATTCTATATAAACACAGAATATCACCCTGCTTGGTCTTTGGATGCTTAATCAGAAGATTCTCGGATTCTTTGCTTTTTCAGGGATCAAACACACTTCGTCTCAATTCAGACAGAAAGTCAGGTTTACAAAAAGTAAGAATTTATTTTCTAAACAATTAAAAACATGACAAGTTAACTAAGACTATTGTGATGGATGAATCTCAGTGGATGGGATGTGATGTATGGTGACTGAATGGTGTCAGTTTACCAGAACCTTGTATCTAGAAGAACTGAGTTCTGGGTGTGAAAAGAATTTGGGTTGCTTTGAACTATGAAGTTGGTTCTTATCAAAACGGCTTCAGACGCAATCATGTGTGTCTACCTCACCCTTTCTTTGGAGACCCTCTTCGCGGATCCGGAGGTCGGCTGACCTCTGGGCGCCGAGGTTCAGTGGATTAACCGCAGCACCGACGCTCCAGTCCAGAGATGTCGCCGGGCACACAGGTTGAAACTAGTTTGCGTCCGTTTCTGAACAGCTGAAGGAATCGTTTTGCTGTGTCAGCTGCAGGCAGCTTTTAGCTTGTAAAGAGATGCGGTGGTGATGGCTTCCTCCGGTGGCCAGTCCGGAGTTCTGCTCAAACTAACAGAATGCTGAATCTCACAGAATGCTCGAAATGCTCCGCAAGTGATCCTGTTTTAATATTCTCATATGTTTTACTTGGCCATAGCGATGGGTACCGAATTCGGTACTTTTTAAGGTACCGACCGAATTCCACAGTACCGACTGAGCACCGATTCACGTCATTTAAAACGGTGCCTCGTTACGGTACCCGTCCTCCATAACGAGAACTTGCCTAGACAGTTGCACATGCGCAAGAGCGTTATGTCGTCGGTCGCTGTGAGCGAGTTGTAAGAGCCCTGCACGGAAGCCCTAGGCCCTCGGGTCAGCCCGGTCCGGCCCGGCCAGGCCTTAAATAAAATGCTTTATATTTTACTGAATTAATTTTATATATGTTAAGTCAATTCTATGTAAAGATTGTCTGCATAAACCTGAACAGGTCCAACCCGGTCTTACTGTGAGACCGGGTTGACGCGTCACGCTTGTGTGTAATCATATCGGCGCTTCCTGAGCTGAAGAGGATGTCAGATTCTGGGCTTCTCCTCAGACGGCTCCTGGATGTGTCGCCACATTGGAGACAGGAACAAGCGCTTTTCAGCCAAAGTTTCATAATCAGGAAACATTTTCTTAGTGACAAGTCTCTCTACAACCTCCACACAGTTGTTTTGGTGTTCGTGCTCCATATCCCAACCTTTAAGAGCAATAGGTTTGCCGGTATCTTTTAACCCTCTGGGGTCCGTGGACGCGTATCCGCGTCTTTTGAACAGGTCTGATTTGGGACGCTGTAGCAGCAAGACTCCGCCTCCCTGATCTTCGGTTTCAATTCAGCTTTAAACAGGAGATTATAAACTACACCCCAGTTTTTAAATTTTGTTAATAGGCAACGTAAAAGCGGAGTTATACTAAACTAAAAACGACCCAATTTTAGACATTCTGATAACTTGTCAAAACAGCAGTTTAGTAATCCGTGAGAGGGAATGTGCTTGTGAACATAAAAAACCACAAAAACATGAGATCCTTTTGCTGTTGGTGGAAGTCTCACATATTCAGTTGATAAAAAGCATCATTATGTAGCTGAGAGAGAGAGGAAGGCTGCACGAGTAAAGAGATGTGCGCAAAAAGGAGCCACTTCACAGGGAAAGGAGTGACGCGAACGAGTAACAATTAGATATTGACGGTAAACTTCATATTTTGGAGCGATCCGGACAGAAATATTGTCTCTGCAGTTTAGTAAGCTTTTATTAGGCTTATGTAAAGGATGATGAGAAGGATAAATGTCCACCAGGCGGTTCAGATATTACGGCTGTTTTTTGAACTGGAAGCAGAGGAAGTGGACGGAGACTCGCAGCCGGAGTCTGAGGCAAACGGCGAGGATGTTGATGACGATGTGGCAGATCCATCCTTCCTCATAGAAGAGTTGGGTCATGATGAGGTAGAGGATGACGGCAGAGATGCAGCTCCTCGGAGATCCTACGAGAGGAGTGGGCGGCGCCGCGCAGCTGTCAGATCTCGATCCCCGCGGCGTGAGACAGAGCCACTCCCCACTCCAAAATGCATGTACATTATTGCCAAATTATTAAAATAAGTATAAATTCAGATAGTCCAGGATGTCCTGAAAAGAATGATAGCCCATAAGGCAATATTTAGTGTTTTTATTAGAAAATACAAAAGAAAAACCAAAATGAGTCAAAACGGTGATTTACACCCTGGACCCCAGAGGGCTAATAATTTATTTCTTCAATTGTTATTTGCTATATTTTTTCATATTTTTTTTTATAAATGTACAGTCTAGATTACCATTCTAAATTATAAAAAACATTTGTCATAAATGTTGGTTTCACAGTAAAATAAAGAACATTTTTCCAATTTGGATTTTATGTTTTTGAGTGATTTAAGGTCTAATATGCAACCCCTTTATGTCCAAATATAAAAAATAAGTATAAATTCATAAAGTCCAGGTTGTGCTGAAAAGATTGATGCCACATAAGGCAGTGGTTATAGTTTTTATTTTGGAAATACAAAGCAAAACTCTAAATTAGTCAAACGGCAAATTACACCCTGGACCCCAGACGGTTAAAGTTAACTGATCAGATTTTACAGTGCAGCACTGAGCTGACAGCACCAGATAAATGAAGTTGTCAACCCGTCATGAGTGAGAACAGCCTGTGTGACACACATTCACCACTCCTCCTTTCTTTAGGCATCTTTCTCCACCGACTCTTCCATCCCTCCATTCACGCCGCCGCCCCCCCTCCCTCCTGACTCTCTCAGCACAATCTTCCCAGCGTAAGGGGATCCCACCCTGAGAAACAGTCGCACCACTTAGCGTCGACTTCAGACCAACCTTTCGTAACAATGCCAAACAGCCAACAAGGACTTCTCAATGTGACGAGATGACAGGCTGCCCACTAAACACCAGAGCGAGAACAGAACGGGTTTGTCAGAGCCGCCCTTGAGCAAACAGCAGAACAGCCTCTAAGTGGATCAATAGGTTGTATTTTCAAACACAGGAAGCATCGGTTATTCAGTGCCAATGACATCATGCAGTAAAGGCATTCGAGTAAATCCTAAATAAATGTAAACTTTAAACAGCTGTTAATTTTACGAGCACCACGTTTCCTCTGCGTCATCACCTCCTGCGACACAGCTCCGTTCACGCAAACGTTGGTCCAGCAGATCCTTGTCAAAGGTAAAAGAATCGCAGAGCTTTAAGCTATTTATCAGCTGGATCACACGGATTTCTTTGCACCAGTCCGTCACAAAGACACCCGCTCTGTGATTAGTTGCCACGACAACGGCTCAGCACATGTCTGGTAGTGTGTGACGTTTACGTTCAACGTGAGATGAAACCGAATGACTGGTGCCAAAAAGCGTCCACGGACATTAACGGCATTAAAAGTTTCGTTCTCTCCAAGTACGTCGTGATTTAACCCACTCAGGCTGCGAGATGTAAAAACAGCATTCAGGGATCAGAAGGAACCGGTTAAGGAGCTCTGCGGGACACCACACGGGCTAAACGACACCGTTGGAGGTTTTTTTAGGATGATGATTTTAAAGCAGGTTCGACGCTGGTCGTCTCCGCTCACGTGCTGCTTTAACGGAAACTCTTTGGGGACGTCTGCAGATAAAATTTCCCACTTGGTGACAACCAATCGACCTGAGCGGATCACAAGTCCCACCCAGGCCTTTTCCGAGTGCATACCCTAGTTCAGACCCTCCGTTCGTCCCTGAAATGTCTCAAAGGGTTCCCGTTTAGGCGGCCCGGTGAAACGGAGGCATGCGCATGACCCAGAAGTTCCATCGGTGGAAACGGGCTCAAAATGACTTGTTTACTCACACGTTCACAGGGACTCTCAACAGCAACGGTAACATGGATCCTTCATCACTCAGCTCCAGCAGTCGAGGCTCCAGAAGCTCAACGATGGTCAGAGCCGTACGGAACACGGCCGGCAGACCTGAGGACGGAAAATTAAAGTTTCAACACATGAAACATTTAAACAATTAAAATGTGTCCCCCCCAATAATGTTCTATAGAATAAATCACACAATTATTCAGCCTAATAGACTAAAGAATGGAACAGGACCATAAAAGAAGAACAAAGTCTTAACCGATATGTGAAACATGACGGCCGACATTAAAGTAAATCCAAAAAAACCAGTTTCAGACTCGACGATCTTCCACATTCTGACCAGACTGCTCCTGTTTTTAGACACTTGCTCCAGATTTCAGAACTTCTGGGTCTTCAGAGACAAAAAGCTCCCGTCAGAGTCAGAGTGCTTAAAGGCCACTTCAAAAAGCATTCACCGTTTAAAACCACTCGCTCTATAAAAGCAGCTCTACTCGCTCACACCCGAGCCGTCTGCAGAACGAAAGCAGAGATGTGAAGCTGCAGAAAATTAAAAGGCAGTTATAAAGTCACCACTTGGAACATAATAACTTTTTGCTTTCCTTCCTTGACGTTGGATGTGCTACTACTAGTTTACCTGTTTAATTATAGATTCACTAGGATAAATACAATAAAGTTTATCTCTCGCCAAATAGAATATTTACCAAGAAATCACAGTGTAACCATGGACACATTGCTTTGGTGTGTGTGTGTGTGTGTGTGTGTGTGTGTGTGTGTGTGTGTGTGTGTGTGTGTGTGTGTGTGTGTGTGTGTGTGTGTGTGTGTGTGTGTGTGTGTGTGTGTGTGTGTGTGTGTGTGTGTGTGTGTGTGTGTGTGTGTGTGTGTGTGTGTGTGTGTGTGTGTGTGTGTGTGTGTGTGTGTGTGTGTGTTCTGTCTTCTCCATCCCCAGTGAGTCGTGGAGGATGGCTGCTTATACTGAGCCAGGATTCTCTGGAGGTTTCTTCCTGTTAAAAGGGAGTTTTCCTCTCCACTGTCGCTATGCTTAGTAAGCTTACTTGCTTAGTATGAGGATTGCTGTATAGTCACTGACACTAGTCAGTGACTTGATGCAGTTAGCTGGGTTCCTTATATAGGAAACATTTTTCTGATTGGCTTAATGAACTGACCTGAATTGGAATGTTTATTATGTGAAGTGCCTTGAGACGACTCTTTATAAATAAACTTGAACATTTTCTTTTGCAACTGGACATTTTTAAATCATCAAGTAACTTCATTTATTTACATTATGCATGCATCACAGACTACAGATCACTTGCACTGCTGTGTGTGTGTGTGTTTCATCTGCTTCCTGGTGCATTTCTGTGTGTATACCGACCTTGCAGCATAACGAGATCCCAGGCAGCGAGGACAGAGTCCCAGCAGGGCAGGGAAGTGAAGAGGGAGAGAAACCATGGCATAACAAAATGGAGCGATAAGACTCCCGCCGAGTCCTGCAGGGAGGTTGAGAAAACAGGAAGACTTGATTTGGCACAACCAGCAATTCTTGAAGTGAACAAAAACATATTAAAAAACCTCTTTGTCCCAGCAGATGCATCCATGCACGCACACACACACACACACACACACACACACACACACACACACACACACGCACGCACGCACGCACGCACGCACGCACGCCTCTAACTTAGACATTCACTCTGATATCTCGGCAACAGCCTTTGTTTCACAGCCATTAAGAAAACAACGAGATGTTAAAATATGTCTGTCCTGTAGATTTTTACAGCCTGAACATGCATTACAAAAATCACATCACCTGGTCTCGGAAGTCCAGCATTAAAACCATTTCAGGCCTTTGTTAGCTCTGCTGAACAGCTTTAGTTCACAGGCGATGCTGATTTTTCACTCTTTAGTTTTTCTTCCTGAATGGAGAAACGTGTGTGTGTGTGAACGTGTGAACGGCTTTTCTCTGAGCTTCTGAGTCGATGCGAACTTTCAAAACCCCGTTTTTCTTTGGTGGATTTCAGCTTCTTCTGTTTTTATTGGAGATGGCCACATTTTAGAGGAAGTAAACCAGGTTCACCCTGTAAAAAACGACACTTTCACGTAGAACTTTGTTTTTGCAAACTGAAAAAGTGTTTCTAAACATCATCTTGCACCTAAAACGTTTCACTCCAACATTGTGAATGTGGATCCAAACTGACGCGTATCCCAGCAGACGGATGAAAACGCGAGGCGGGCTAAAACACGAGCTCACCCGTTACACTCGGGGGACCGAGCAGCCTACTGAACACAGTCAGAAGCAGCTCAGCGGGGAGAAAATGACGCCTCTGCGCACATCCACGAGCTGCAACAATGACGAGCCCGGAGCCAACAGCGTGAAAGGCAGAAGAGGCCCAGCTGATGACGGACACGCTACAAAGGCATGGCACTCATCACAGAATATCACAGCAAACCCAGAACAAACTAAAGCACAATTCCAGCATTTCCACGCCGCCTGACCCAGGTCATTTCCAAAAGCTCATGCAGCACCTCCACCTGGTGGGGTTTGCATTAGAGCTGAAACAACTAATCGATTTAATCGATTATAATCGATTATTAAAATAGTTAACTTTTTAGTCATCGATTAGTTGTTTAATAATCACATTTTACCGCATTAAGTCTATTTTTACCACAATCTGACATCGGTTACAATCTGTTAAATTTGCCGCCAGTGTGTGGCAGTAATGAGCCACTGATCTAGCAGTGGAGCCGTAGAAGAAGAAACGAGCCAATAAGTGCCCTCGGGTTTGCATAAAGACAAAGTTTGGGGGGACCCCACTGTGGGTCACACCAAACTACACAGATGCTATATTTCTATCATAACCAGGGATGTCCCGATCCGATCACGTGATGGGAAATCGGTCCCGATTACATGGTTACAAACTCAATCGAGATAGAGCGTCACTTCCTGATCCGGACTTGGATACAGGGTTAAAGGAGAACTAAGGGGAACCTAGCTCCTCCCCTGAAGCCCTCCACTTACACACCCAGAGGGAGCCTGAAAAAATATCCAGTGTCGACCTATATTAGATTATTTATCTGGACTCAGAGTTTACAGTTGAAGTCCAAATGTGAAGAATTCATGTTATTCATCAGTTGGCTGTTGTTAAATGTTAAAATAAATAAAATGTAAGGAACATTCTGGATCTGTTTCTTCACTTTCTTAATTCTATTTTTATCAAGTCCCCATAATTCGGGTCTGGATATGAAGCAAAACAGGAAGTGACAGAAATTGCAGTTCCACCTTGATCCACTAGGGGCTGGTGTCAGAAGCGAGCAAATCCTCATTGACTCCCATGTTAAAAATACCAATTTCACAGCAGAAATAAACATGTTTACAGCCTGGTACCAAAACATGTTTTTGGTTTAAATGATCTAGTTTACACTCATGACAACTCTGAGGGGGGTGAATTTTTTGTCACTCTTCTGTTTAAGTGTATTAAAAGCCTAAAATTCTGTATAATTAATGAGCATCAGACCCACGTGACCACAGAGCTAGCTCCGTGGAAAGGCCTCAGCCTGAAAACTGTTCGGTCATTTTCAGTCTCTCAACTTAAACCATTAGTAGTAGCATTTGTGCGTTCTTTTTGGATATTTTTTGTGCAATTGTTGGACAAAATGACTTGCTGTGGCATTAATTGCACTAATAGAGCGTCCAAGGAGTCTCCACTTCATTATTTTCGGTAAATAAAATTATATTTATGTATTTTAGGTCACTGCCGAGCTGAGCTTAGATTTTAACATGTACTGTTTAACCATGAAATGTAAATGTAATAGGGTAAACCCCAGTGCATTTAACATAATGCTGCATTTTAGAAAATGGGTTGAAATATAACATGTTGGTGGAGCTGGGTTCCCACTATCGGTATGGTCCCCTTCCCTCAGCTGCAGCTCAGCGCATCTGATCGCAGCGGCGCTTGTCTGCTGTGCGGCTGCCGGCTTGTGGAGCTCTCAGGAGACCTCTGTGTTCCACCCGGTTTTATCCAGTGGTCAGCCCGGCGTATCTCTGACTCAGAAGCTCCGGTGTTGTGCACAGTTAACTCTGGCTGTAGCTACGTAGCTACCTCCATTAGCTTAGCAAATGACTAGGACTTGGGAGGGCAAAAAAACCTGATCGGGACCTCCCCCGATTATAACACTTACTAAATGGTCAAAACTGTAGATAAGTGAACATGAGCTGATGCAGTTTTCCTCGTGACCGCATTTGTTCCTCTCATATCAGATATCTGGGCCACGTCTTGAAAACTGCTGTTTAACGGTCCTGAAGCTGAAACGTTTGGAAACCACTGGTCAGAAAACACAGGTGCACCATTTCTAGGAACTACAAGTGAGCCAGATCACAGCTGAGCTTCAGACGACAGGATCTCTCCTCTGATTGGCTAACAGCAACACGACTATCACAACCGTTTGCTCTGCAATGTTGACGTTTTATCTCCACAAATAACAAGCCTGGAGGAGTTCTGCTGTGTGGTGGAGTTGCTAATGCTAATGGTTAGCTTCTGCTAGCAGAGACGCTCTCTGCGGTTTCCTGGACGCTAAACCAACAACAGCCTTCCCCGTCGTGAATCAAGATGGGCGAGTTTACAGAGCAAACACTCAGTGGTAGAGTCATGTTGCTGTTAGCCAATCAGAGGAGAGCTGTCCAAATATCAGGAAGTAATCCTGACGTGTTCCACCACCTTCCCCTGCAGCTAGGGTTGGGCATAGCTTGACTTTGAACGATTCCGACTGCAATTGCCAAGGGCGTCAGTTTGTTTTCAGAGTTGCTGGGGACAATAACCATACACTTGAGTGGGGCTTAAAAATTGCTGGGGACAATAAAGTAGGCTAGCACAGGGGTCGGCACCCCGCGGCTCTGGAGCCGCATGCGGCTCCCTCCATCCATCTGATGCGGCTCTCTGTGCTTATAAAATAATGAATGGATATTTAAATAAAATGCTTTATATTTTACTGCATTAATTTTACATCTGTATGCTAATTCTAAATGTAAAGATTGTCTGCGTAAACCTGAACAGGTCCAACCCGGTCTTACTGTGAGACCGGGTTGACGCGTCACACTTGTGCTCGCAGCGTTTTAAAAAGAAACGTATGACAAGAGTGGCACCTGCTCAGTAAAACCACCAACAGGGTGAAAAATACCAAATATTGAAGGCAGAGACGGGCTACAACTTCTGGATCCACTTTATATAAATCATTTTATTGATTATCATCTTATGAAAGATAACTCTGACGTACACGAGCGACCAAGCGCGTTGCAAGCTTTTCAAAAGTGTGGAGGATGTTGTCTGTGCCTAAAATAAGTTCATGTTATTCATCTTGTTAGTTTAATTTCCATAATAGCGGAGCAGGTGCGAATTTTAGACGCGTCACTCATGTCTCCGTTTTAAACATGTTTAAACTGTTCAGAACACAAATCCAGGCTCTGTCTCGTTAGATCGGTGCAACTAAAGTTTGTACTGAATGAAACTTTACATTAAACCATGTTGAAAAGAAAAGGATCCGATTAAATCGTTTCCTCTTATTTACAGTCACAGAGTACAGCGCAGTGCGCGTGGCTCTGGGGTTAATCAGGTTTAGTTGTTTCTCTTTGCAACAATCTTCACAAGAAGGTAAAACAGTTAAACGGCAGGTTACAGATATTTCCATTTGACTGTTTATTTTGACAGATAAACTCAAGGATGTTGGTTGTTTTGAAAGAATTACCACGACGCACACTGATGAGCTGACATTTTAATCGTTACGCACATCGCGGAGGTAATTAAATCTCTTGATTTTATTGAACTGTTTCTCTCTTTGTTTTTTCTTGTTTGGGTTTTATTATTGTTTTATTGTATTTTATTACGTGTTTTCTGTAAAGTGACCTTGGGTGTTCTGAAAGGCGCTTTGAAATAAAATGTATTATTATTATTATTATTAAATCAAGAAATGGTTCCCATCAGAACATCAGGGCTTTATACTGGACATGTGCTCAGCGCCGCTTGGAGCGCCCACGGTGGACAGTGGGCTGAAGATCTGCAGAGGGGTTCGCAGCGCAGAACCACGATGCATGCGGTAAGATTTCCTCCCACTGAAGCGGTCTGGAAACCCGGTCTCTCTGAGGGATATGTCTCTTGGAAAAATGTTCTCTGATTATGAAACTTTGGCTGAACAGCGCTTGTTCCCAGCTCTAATATGGAGACGCATCCAGTCTGAGGCAGAATAGCCTCTTCAGCTCAGAAAGCACCTGTAGAGACATTTGATCACGCACAAAGTTTATGTGGAGCAGAAGCGGTCGGGCCACGGCAGGTGAAACGTTCCTAGCCTACATGAAGTCAAACTGTTTAATTGTAACATTAATACGTTACTGGACACGCTGGTCTGGTTGGTTAGACCAGTGTTTGAAGTGGAAAACACACACACACACACACACACAAATTAAAATAATGCTGACAGCGTGGACTAGAAGACAGGTGATGGGTTATGTATTTAAATGATGATCAGGCTGCTGTAAAATGTAATCTCCATCCACATCCAGACACAATAATCCTCTATTCTTTCTCTAGTTGCTCTGCTCTTGTCTGGGCTGACGTAGCTGACGGAGCGCGCGGCGCGCCTAACTAGCGGCTGATGCACATTTTACACATTTGGAGAGGTGGGCTGGATGCTTTGCTTTCACTGGAAGATGGTCCACTTAACGCGCGGGTGTAGACTACATATTAATGACAAATGAATGAAAATTAAATTGGGAGTTTTTACTTTATATTTTATATATAAAAATGACGGGGGAAAACATTTATGACGTCTTTTTAAACTAAATTTTCTAGCGCGACCTGCCTGCTTCACTTAAGGCACTGCTTATTAAGGTCCGTCCAAAATTACCGTGGCCCACCCAAAAATGAAAACCTGGCGCCGCGCCTGTTATAAACCTCTGCAAATTATTGTTCTTCACTTGATCAAACTCAGACTTTGTACAGCTAATGTCAAGATGTAAAATTATTCAGTCGAGCTCTTCCGTCCCTCCCTCTCCTGCTCTCCTGGAAACCCGACATCGGCTGTCAGAAGAGGGAGGTGAAGAAGGAGATGAAGCAAACAGAGCGAGTGCGATGTAAAGAAACCAGACTGGTGTGGAGGTGAGCAAAACAGCTGGAAAAGTGTGGGTGTTGAATCCTCCACGGGTGCGACGCCCATGCGAGCGACCGGTACCAGCTGCTGTCACCTGTTGTGAGCAGCGCTCTGCTGTCTGAGGGTAGGCCCCGCCCACAACGCTGCGGCTACTGCTGTGTTTTCTTTACTGTGGGAAACAGGTAATAATGGCTCTTTGATGGGAACAGGTTGCCGACCCCCGGTATAAGATCTGAGCTGGTAAAACAAAAATCCTCATCAGCAGGCTTTTTTGAAAGTGGGGGGGACACAGCCGCCAATCACAAATTTTGCCGGGGACATGTCCCTGGCATCCCCAGTTAAAATGACGCCTATGGCAATTCCCGTTGCGCCAGCTAACCACAGGTCCTACTGGAAGAAATAATCTTAACTTTAACGTGAATTTTAATTCTAAGAACAACAACATCACCTTCATTTACACAAAAACATGTTTCGAGAAAGAAAGAAGACTTGCAGCAATCAGTGTGTTTGTTTCTGACCACAACCAAAGTCTGGAAGGAGCCTCTGGGATGAGTTAAAAGTCTCCAAAATATCCAGAAACGTCCGGCTGTTTCTAATGAAAACATCAGGACGATCATGTCCAGGATGACTGAACCTGCACGCGGCTCTCTGCGGCCAGCAGAGTAGGAGCGCCAGTGATCAGCTCTGAAAAGCGTTGATCATAATTTGCAGATCACGTTTATTTTTCACGGCGTTCGGCCGCGGATTCCTCTTCCGGTCAGCATTCTAGGAATGGAAATAAAAACTTTGAACGACTCCGTTGGTCCCGGTTCCAATCAATGCTCGATACCCAACCCTACCCGCAGCTGACTTCCTGATTCAGGCACATCTGAGTTTTTATGCCCCAGAATACGACTTCCCAGGTATTCATTCCTACTAGAGACCACTGCACGTGTCCTGATTAAAGAGTGAACCACACCTTTAAACATGAAAGTGTTTCTCACCATGTGCTTGAAGAGCCGTGGCTTCCTGTGTTTCAGAAACTGTTCAAACACCTTCACCTGAAGGTGCCCCCTGAGTAGAGCCGGAATAAAGACGGTTCAGTTACATGGTGGTGAAGTGAGCGAGTGAATGAATGAATGAATGAAGCAGAACAATTATAATACAAACAACTCCAGAATCTGTTTTCAGCCTGACTAAGGAGTTCAACACTTCATTGTTTTAATGACATAAATATTAAAAACCTTCCTAAATCCTCCGAACTGGTTCTTACTTTGAGATGTCGAGCTCAAACAGTTCATTCAGGTATTTGGGTTTATTCAGCAGGGCCGTCAGAGCCCAGAACGCCTCCTCCTCCCCCAAATGCATCAGCAGGACTGCAGCTATGTAGGACATCCCTGTGAAACACAAACACGTTAGCTCCGACAGTAACACGGAGCAGAAACGGCCTTCATGTGCCACGAGCTGATCTATCGTTATTTATCTGGTGGGTAGGCGTAGAAACGTTTCACACAGATCAGTTTTCTTCATTTATCAAACTCCCTTTAGAGTCACTCGAGGAAGGAAAACAGGAAATTACACACAGATCTTGTAAAGCGAGTTTGGTTTAATTTTGTTTGTTAATTGTAAAAGTTGATTCACGCAGAAACGCTCATATGAAAAAGATATGTGCACAATAAAACAGACATAATCCTAAAAATAAAGTCGAACAAAAGCCGTCTTTGTCAAAGATCTGGATTTTTTATTTGAGCTCACGGCCGAAATCCAGATTTAGGAGAAAACCAGGATGTGACTCTTCAGACGAATCTCAAACATTTACATCATTTATTCTGCAGAACTCTTCACATTAACCATCATCTACCTCCATCTAGTGGACACATTGTGCACTGCAGACCCCTAAATACAAAACTCTCCCAACAACGAAATAAAATCTACAGTTTTACCTTAAAAAATGTGGCTAATTAATAAATTTATACAAATAAGATACGACTTTCCCACCCTGGTCCGTTACCTTGGCTGTAGCCAACTCGTGGGTTGTATTTTGCAAAGGCAATGAGGACTCTGAAGAGTTTAGCCTGACCCTCGATGGCTTCTGGATCGTCTCCCATCAGAGAGCGGTGGGTTGGGAAGGAGCGCTCTGTGGTCAGAAGAAACATCATCTAACCCAAACTGCATCCACCCAGCCTCCCGTCTCCTGCCCCGTTTGAACTCACGCAGGTCCAGAGCGATCTGCCTGAACAGGCCGACTTCATCCACAGAGTAGCAGGGCTCCGAGCAGCTGGAGGACGGCTGCTGGTTCAAATCCAGGTCATTCTGGGTGTCGCTCAGCGTGGCGATAGCAGACAAAATACCGTACTCACTGACTCCCAAGTCCACCAGGGGTCCTCGAACATCAGACAAGCACCTCTGTAGAGGAAAATTCATCCAGCGTGTTCTTGTTAGAAATCAACAACATTTGTGTTTTTACTGAAAACAGGACAAGCGATGGCGTCGGCCACCGGGACAAACTACAAAACCCCTTACAGTGGTTCAGAAGTCATGAGGAAACAAATGAAAAAGGCAAAAGAGCGACTCCAGGAGGAGGAGGAGAACATGTGTGGGAGGAAAGCATTCTGCATTCCCGTTTACACGTTCTCTTTCATACTCAACACACTTGGTAACGAGGAGCTGTCTGCCATGAAAAGGTCACAAACAAGTCGTACAACTTTATATCCAAAGCATTTACCAAGTCTGCATGACTCGAAGACAACTGGATGCAACATTTTCTCACATTCACACAAGCTCCTGATGGCGCACGAATATGCATTTAGATGGAGGTGTGTGTGTGTGTGCGTGCGTGCGTGCGTGCGTGCGTGCGTGTGTGTGTGTGTGTGTGTGTGTGTGTGTGTGTGTGTGTGTGTGTGTGTGTGTGTGGATGAGCGTGCGTGCGCACGTGTGTGCGTGTGCATGTGTTAGTACATGCGTGTGTGTGCGTGCGCGTGTGGTTGCGTGTGTGTGTGTGTGTGGTTGCACGCGCACGTGTGTGTATGTGTGTGTGAGAGAGAGGTGGAAAGAGTACTAAAATTTCCTAAGTACGAGTACCAATACTTTGATAATTTTTTACTCAAGTACAAGTAAAGTACTTGCCTAAATTTTTACTCAAGTAAAAAGTATCGTAAATAAAATGTACTCAAAAGCAAAAGTTACTTTGTTACATTTTTGTCAGCATAAAGATGGCTACATCAGTGCAAAATCACAACACCAGTTTGCGCGCGCGCGTGCACGCACACACACACACACACACACACACACACACACACACACACACACACACACACACGCGCACACACACACACACACACACACACACACGTTAGAATCTTTTGAATGACTAATTTAACTACATTGAACTGCTTTAGTAATAATTAATCTCTTATTCTGGAGTAAAATAAAGAAACAAGCTAAATCATCACACATCTGTGGCATCAAGAAGCATCTTCTGAGTTCAGACACAGGGATGGAGCACAATGTTTACACCTGAACAGTATCGGGATGCTTTAACTCACAGAGGCCTGCAGGTCTTCTGTTTCACGAGCAAAGCGCCGAGAATCCGCTTCTAGGAGCGCTAAACATTATTTTGCCACTTCCGTGCGGAGTGGTGGGAAATACATTTCAAACACGAAACCGAGTCCGGCTACCGAACCGAGCAGAATTCTGATGACGTAACACCGGTGCGCGAAGGTTCCAGCCAACCCACAGGAGAGGAGGTAAACAGCGACTGGATCACAGGGACTGAACAGATGTTTTTGGGCAGAGGTCCCCCCCCCCCACCCCCACCCCCACGGTTTAGAAGCGGCGCTCATGCAGGAGGTTGTTTTTGTTCCGACGCTGCTTCACGCAATATTTTCAATTTATTAAGCCTATAATTTGTTTTTACTCCTTAACGGATATGATTTAAAATGTAGCGAATTACAATTATTTTTTAAAAACTTACTCAAGTAAAAGTACAGATTGTAAAAACTACTTAAAAGTATAAATATACTAAAAAGCTACTCAATTACAGTAACGTGAGTAAATGTAAGTTGACTTTCCGCTGCTGGTGTGTGTGTGTGTGTGTGTGTGTGTGTGTGTGTGTGTGTGTGTGTGTGTGTGTGTGTGTGTGTGTGTGTGTGAGTGTGAGTGTGAGTGAGTGTGTGTGAGAGAGAGAGAGAGCGAGAGCGAGAGCGAGAGAGAGAGAGACAGAGAGACAGAGAGAGAGAGACAGAGAGAGAGAGAGAGAGAGAGAGAGAGAGAGAGAGAGAGAGAGAGAGAGAGAGAGAGAGAGAGAAACTGCTTCCTGCTCCCTTTTGAACTCCTTTTGTGTTTTCTGTATGTTGTGTGGAGAGAGAGTTTTCATTGGCCAAAGTGGGATTTAGAAGCACCGATTACACAGATTTAATCACCTAAAAAGTTCCAACTATAATGAAATAAGCAGCAGTCCAACGCCCCACCCTCAGCTGAGTTCCGTATTATTTACCTGATAGTTGAAGTCACTGGTTTCTCTCAGGTCGTCGATGTTGAGGAGACACTTCCACACTCGGCCTCTCAGGCTGGGAGGAATGCCCATCCTGATAAATCGCTCAATCTGGGAAAACGTGAAGATGAAATGCAACTGCTGCCTCAGATTATCAACCCTTTTCATGGCTTTTTTTTTAAAGCATCTTATCCGAGACTCACCTGGCTCTTGCAAATGAAGCTGGCCCCATTCCAGTAGCTGAGGAGCTCACAAAGCTCCTTCACCCTCACCGAGCTCAGCTGGGGGTAACTAGCAGAGAACACACACCACAGCAGGACTTTCAGCTGTTTATCAGCCTTTGATGTAGCGTTCAAACAAGTCTGAGAATCCGGGCTGTGATCATTTAAAGTCTGTTTTTACATCTTTGAAACAGAGGCAGGTCCTACCACAAGTGGAGGAGTTTAAGTATCTCGGGGTCTTGTTCACGAGTGAGGGTAGGAGGGATCGGGAGATCGACAGGCGGATTGGTTCGGCGTCTGCAGTGATGCGGACGCTGAGCCGATCTGTCGTGGTGAAGAGGGAGCTGAGCCAGAAAGCCAGGCTCTCGATTTACCGGTCGATCTACGTCCCAATCCTCACCTATGGTCATGAGCTTTGGGTAATGACCGAAAGAACGAGATCGCGGATACAAGCGGCCGAAATGAGTTTCCTCCGTAGGGTGGCCGGGCTCAGCCTTAGAGATAGGGTGAGGAGCTCGGACATTCGGGAGGGACTCGGAGTAGAACCGCTGCTCCTCCGGATCGAAAGGAGTCAGTTGAGGTGGTTTGGGCATCTGGTCAGGATGACTCCTGGACGCCTCCCTGGGGAGGTGTTTCGGGCATGTCCTGCTGGCAGAAGGCCCCCGGGTCGACCCAGGACACGTTGGAGAGGTTACATCTCCAATCTGGTCCAGGAACGCCTTGGGGTCCTGTCGGAGGAGCTGGTGGAGGTGGCCGAGGAGAGGACGGTCTGGAGCTCCCTAGTTGGGATGCTGCCCCCGCGACCCGGACCCGGATAAGCGGAGGAAGACGACGATGAAACAGAGACAGGTGGATCTGAGGAAGCAGGACTTTTAGGTGATGACTTTTATATCTATGTGAAGCACTTAATGACTTTCTGTGTGTGTGATGAGTGTTATAGAAATAAAAGGTACTTATTTACACTGACCCATCAGAAAAGGGTTCACATTCAAGCTTATAACAGGAAAAGCGGGAATTGTCCACACCTGTAAGCATAAACGGTTTGTTGTAGACAGCCTTCAACTTCCAGACCACCTGAATAAATAACGTCAGGTAACATTTTCTCAGTTTGGTCGTTTTCAGAAAGATACGGGGCTAAAACGCATCAGGTGACTGACCTGCTAGTTAAAAGGGTCACTGCACCGCTCAGGTTAGGTTCCAGTTTATAAAGTAAGCTCTACCCTGAGAAGATGTCGCTCTCGCCCACTTTTGAGTTAAAACTAGCAGCTGAAGTCAAGAACTTTCTGTCAGACTCATAACTAGTAGTGTTAACCTGCTGGTAAACACACCAGTTAACGCTAATTAACCAACACCCGGCGCACCTGTAGTCGTGACTCCTGTGATGAACTTTCTGCTCCTTCCTTTTCAAAAAAGCAAACCCGAATTGATCGAAACGTGAACTCTCGCTCCGCCTCCTGGTTCCCGAGCTCCTCCGGCTGCTGCTGCTTCGTCTCATGGCTTCAAAACAACCAGAAAAGTCTTTTAAAATGAGGAAAAGTAGGAACGAGCTCGACTCTGACCGATTCTGTCGGTCTGACTCGACCAGATGCACCTGGCTGCAGAGAACGGGAAGAGGCGGGGTCGGTCATACATACCATATTTGGAACTGATGTCGTTGCTTTCCGGAACTGAAGGGGGCGCTCTTCACTAAACCTTTGTCTTTAAAAACTTTTCATTGATTTTGGTCGTTCTTCAAACATAATTAAGCAATACTGTAATTTCCCAGATATCGCAGTTCGTTTTTTCCCTTTAATGTGTTTATTTTTTATTTTATTAAAGAGGTCCTTCACTGAGAAACCATTTTTTACTTATTTTGGTAGTTTACTTTGAACAAAACAAATCACACGGTGAGAGGATGATGTAAATCAAAGTGTTCCAAAAGGAAGTAGGTTGAAGCAAAAGCTTATATGTCCTACTCCTTTGTACCCAATTTTTTGATAACCCCAAGCCGGCGGCGCAGGCAACCTGTTTCCGTGTTACCTTCCTTCCAACATGATTGACACATCAGACGGTTTTGTGATTATTTCGCTGTAGAATTATTTTAGTCCACCTCTAAGCATGTTTAAAACCATCTAAAAGTATGTCCAGTCATCTCCAGAAGCAGCTTTATAAAATGCACAAAACGTATTTCATCTTTATTTTCTCATTATAAATCCTTTATAAGGCATAACTTGTCTTCATTTTTGACTTGACGATACCAGGTAACATCCATTGCCAGCAAAGGACCACTGAAGTGAAGTTTGACACCTCTTCTTCATTCATGCCTTTTTTTAATAAACATTATTTTTACTGATACATCTATTGGTGTCATTTCTGATGTGAAAAAGCAGTTTTTATAATGAAAAACAGCATCAAAGGCAGATATTATTCTGCAACGATCCCATCATTGCTGCGCGTCTCCACTTTGTAAATAGTCTGGTAGCCATCGTCCCAAGCATACAGCTGCTTGTCTCCTGGGTGATAGTGGATGCTGCTGTGGCTGGTGTAGCGCTTTGGGAAGAACACCACAGGACTCTCACTGCTGTTAAAGGTGAACGAAAAAGCATTTTGGAAAAGCCACATCACAGAAATGCGGTATGTTTTTCTCCTCTCTGCTAACCTGTGGATGGTGTCATGGATGTCATACAGACACTGGATGGTAGAGCGTCCTCCATAGCGCGTGTTGTAGACCACATAAAGGGTTCCACACATCAGGAAGGCTCCTTCAGCATCATGGCTTCTACACTGGGTATCCCAGGTGTGGTCTACGGCCAGGGTTCCTGGTGGAAACAACATCAACCAAATAATCACATGTGCCAGGCCACATCTATTAAAGTATTACAAAAAGAATTATGCAGTCTATATATACATAACAAAGTCCTAGAAAACCTTATTTTACAATTGGAATGAGCCCGACTTTATTCAAGTATTTATTCAAGGTCTGTATATTCCCAGTACATCCTGGAATATTACACGTGGGTAGGGACCTTTGACATTTGAATCGATTTGGTACTAATTGCCGGTACCTAGGAATCGATACTGGTACTTAACGGTACCAATTTTCGATACTTTTGAGTGTTTAATATTTTAATTCTCTTTTATAATTAAATATATATTTTTCTCAATATATAACCCTATTTGATAAATATCACGATAAATCATGGACGTAATTTTTTTTGGGGGGGACATGCCCCCCCCCACACACACTTTTTCCCAAAGTCAAGTTTTGACCCCTGCACTTTTTACCATCCAAAACAATATTACGCTATATTAAATTGACACTGGTTGAGCTCTAGGACCAAGCGGAAAACAACAATTTGTGTTGAAGCCTGTTTCCCATTAAAGCATACTGTAAAGACCCCCCCCCCACCCCTGTGTCCCCCCCCCCACCTCTAAAGTGAAAATTACGTCCATGCGACAAATAACATACAACTGTTTGTATTTTAACATCGTCCTTGTAGTTTTATAAGCTGATGATTAAACTGAAGCAAACATGTTTACTGTGAACTAAATTTACTGTGTATCTTCATTCCTTTTGCCGTCCTTTTTCATTTGATTTTTCCTACTGGGAAGTTAGAATTTCCGAGGAGAGAGCGAACGCACCATTAGCTGATAAAAATGGTGGCAATGGAAGCTAATTTATCAAGCTAATGTTATCTTAAACTGTTTATTTAGCTGCTGGAGCAGATTAAAACGATGATGCCTCACACTTAGATCGTTGTCGCTGGTTTCATCTTCACCCAATCACCCGTCGCATTTAGTAAAGTGAAGCCAAACTTTAGAGCGCGTTCATGTTCTTCTAGTCGGAAATTCCGAGTTCCGAGGAGAAAGTGAACGTACCATTAGCGAATCGGAAGCTAACATATCAAGCTAACGTTATCTTAAACATTTTATGTTTGTGTTTATGTTTATTCATTTAGGAGACGCTTTTATCCAAAGCGACTTACAATTTATAACCTATAGGGCGTGTTGTGATCTGTGGGGGAAACCGGAGAACCCGGAGGAAACCCACGCATGCATGGGGAGAACACGCAACTCCACGCAGAAAGGCCGCAGCCGAGTTTCAAACCTGCAACCTTCGTGCTGCGAGGCAACAGTGCTAACCACTGCGCCACCATTTTATTTACCTACCAGAGCAGATTAAGATGAGGATGTCTCACTTAGATCGTTGTCGCTGGTTTCATCATCACCCAGTTACCCGTCACATTTAGTGAAGTGGACCCAAGCTTTAGCGTGCGTTCTTTCTACCATGCTGCTCTGTTTACAACTGGCTCGCAGCGACCGACGACATAACGCTCTTGCACATGCGCAGCTGTCTAGGCAAGTTCTCATTATGAAGGACGGGTACCGAAACAAGGCACCGTTTCAAATGACGTGAATCGGTGCTCAGTCGGTACTATGGAATTTGGTCGGTACCTTAAAAAGTACTGAATTCGGTACCCATCGCTACACGTGGGCATGCGTTTAGTTTTCATATAATGCTGATCCTAAAACCCTTTTCAGACTGACATTCTGGAATATGTGTGGACAACTCAATCTGGTTTTAACCAGAACTGTGTTTTCAGACACACCACTTTTGTACCGGAACTTGTCCTTTTGGCTGCCTTCACACAGCAGGGAAAAGTTCCAGATGTCTTGGGGGGGGGGGGGGGGGGGGGGGTCGGACTTATGTATAAATAATTTATAATTCTGCGCACACAAAGACGCATAACAGACCTGGATGATGAAGCTCAATGGTTAAAGGAATCACGGAAGCGGTGTGAAGCGCTCCGTCGCGCGTCTAGATTGTACTGTTGTTGCCAGTACCCGCATGCCAAAGACAGTGGCAAGAAACGGGGTCAAAAGGTGGGCCACAGAGATAAGAGTGGACCCACACTGAACTGGCTTATGCGAGTAAAATCAGCCAGAAGACAGGAGCCCAGCTGCACAAGCATCCAAGCTAGGAGCAAAACTGGGCTGCAGGTCGAAAACTGTGGTCAGGAACGAGGGTCACGGAAGGGTCACAGGGACAAGAGGACAGAACTGGGCAAAAGGTCAGGAGGCAGTCTGGTTTCACCTCTGGCTCCACCCCTGCATCCATCCCTGGCGGGAAAAGAAGGACTGGCACAGAGTGAAGACAGCCCGTTTGGATCAAGAAGCCCTCTCAGGAATGCTGAAGGAAGACCTACAATTTGCTACAAACCTGATGATGTAGTGATCTGTGCCCTCATGTAGAGTGCTGCATGTAATGACCTGTGTTAAGAAGAATGCTGCATGTAGTGAAAATGATACCAAATGTCTTGTGTTGAGCTAAAAAGTGTGTGTCTGGTAAATGACCCCATGACCTCACTGTCATGAGGTAATGATATATGTGACTTTTTACCTTGTCTAAGCTGGCCCAGGGAGGGTATAAAAGAGCAGCTCGGAGAGAGCTGGGGAGATTCGACAGAAGTTGGGGCGGACGACAAGAAGAGACAGAGCAGATTTGGGGAGGTCATCCTCCGTCGACGGAGGACGACAGGTCAGTTTTTTGTAGAGAAGCAGAGCTAGACAAGTTTTTGGAGAGAAGTTTGGGGCGATCCACAGAAGACCGAGTTGGTGTAAATCAACTCCTTATTTCTTTATCAATCATTAGAACTAATTTCTCCGTGGGGGAAGCAGTTAGTTTTATATTTACTCATTTTTTGTATTTTTTGATCCTGTAATAAACTTATTGGAAAAAGATCCATAATCCTGATTCTTTCAGGTTTTCTCTAAAGCTTAACGATTGAGGCCCTGACCATTATTGCACAGAGGTAAGCATATTAATTATAGGATCCTGAATTATCAGGATTTACTTTACGGTTTGTGACAGATTAATATAAAGAAACCTTAAGATAAGAGGAGCTTGCCTCCTCCCTCACCCGCGAGTAACGAGTTGTCTTAAGGATGATAAAACCAGAACATTAGTGGTTAATTTTGGCTCTGATTCGCAAGTCGAAAAAGTCTCTATCAGCGCTGGAAGGTTGGATTAATTAAATAAATTGATAAATCTATGTTAGTCCGGCCAACTAAAAGGACTCATTTTATAGTTACCAACCACCCACATAAGCTGATAGAGGCGCAATTAATCCAAATAACCCAAACAATTGCCGGAAGGGATGGCCTCCCGCCGGGCTTCGTCCCCAGTATTTTAACCAAAAAATAACGGGATTGCTTAAAAAGAAGTGGGCTACTACAAAGGGACAAGTCTTGCATATCATTTCACCTTTAAAATAGAAGATATGATTCTAACTTAGGAAGTCCATAACCAGGGTCTAGTACAATAAAACTCACCAATATCCCCACCGAACCCTGATAGATGCACAGTCTCATAAGTTCTAACGGAACTGGGTTGTAACGGAACCGACAAATGGGACGTGCACGCGACACTGTAGGAGGCGAGCTGCCATGGTTCACCGCATGCTACAGGAGCGAGCTATCTAGGTGCGCACAGCGTCCCCCGGTCCCCTCCTTCTCCCCCTCCTCCCTGTCCGGAACTCGACCTCACCAGTCTGAAGCAGCCACCTTGTCCGTGACAAGTCCGGACCTGTTACTAGGGGCGTCGTCTGGGTTAATTACGGAAAACGTTATCCGGATGTTTGTATTCAGACACAAAGGTCTTACGGACAGAGTCCGGAACATTTCCGTTTTTCATGGCCTGTCGGAAGGGGGCTTCATTGAGTTGGCACATGCAAATGTAAAGGTGTGTGCACCTCTCTACCTTTATCCAGTTTAGTAATGACCAGGTTTCCTCCGTACTCCGGGTCAGCGTGGATGACCCAGAGGCCGAGCTCATCAACAGCCATGTCCAGGTAGGTGTTGGGATTCAGACTGTAGACGGGGAGACGACCCGCTCCGGGAAGAAGGGTGCTATCCACCACCGAGCCATTCAGGAGATCTACCTTCATGTGAGGTGGAAACAAGTCGGGTCATTCCAGCAGTGATTTCATTGTTGCTTCAAAAGATCAAGACAAACGAAGTTCCTAATAAATCCAGTCTCGTCTGTTGTAAACAACCCCAACAAAAACATTCTGCTGTTTCAAACCTATTTTCTGGATGAGGTGCCTAAACACATTTACTTCAAGTCCTCAGCGTCCTGAGAAAAGTTAGTTTTAGTGGAACAACTCGTGTTTCTTTTAGCCCTACATCCACACTGACCTCAACCAACACAAGCAAAGGAAACCGAAACGGATCGCGAGCAACACGACAGACCAGAACCAGACCAGTTCATTCCACCGTGGTTCTTCTTTATTGCTACAATCCTAATGATGTAAGAACCGCCTTGTGCATCACATTATTGTTGGATTGCTTCATTTACAAACCTTCAGTATTTCGTTGGGTGTATCTGCCTTGTGGCAGTAGAGGAATCCGTGGTACACCACATGACCCGTGCCCTGCCAGGAGAAAGGCAGCTGCACCACCTTTAGAGGAGCTGCAGAGGTCTTTGTGAACTGCTTCAGAGATTTGTACTCCAGGACAGTGTTGTTGCGAATCCCACTCAGCAGATACACCTGAAACGGTTAAGAGCAGATTTCACGTCTGAGGAATTTGAAGAAAACAAAAAGTTATTTTTACATCCATCCATTTTCATTTCCTTATCTGGAGCCGGGTTGTGGGGGCAGTAGCCTTAGTCGAGACGCCCAGACTTCCCTCTCCCCAGCCACTTGGACCAGCTCCTCCGAGGGAATCCCAAGGCGTTCCCTGGCCAGGTGAGAGACATAATCCCTCCACCGTGTCCTGGGTCTACCTTTAGTTCTCCTCCCGGTTGGACGTGCCCAGAAAACCTCACCAGGGAGGCGTCCAGGAGGCATCCTGACCAGATGCCCAAGCCACCTCAACTGGCTCCTCTTGATGTGGAAGAGCAGCGGGTCTACTCCGAGCCCCTCCCAGATGACTGAGCTTCTCACCCTATCTCTAAGGGAGAGCCCAGCCATCCTGCGGAGAAAACTTATTACAGCCGCTTGTGTCCACGATCTCGTTCTTTCGGTCACTACCCAAAGCTCATGACCATAGGTGAGGGTAGGAACGTAGATCGACCGGTAAATCGAGAGCTTCTCCTTCTGACTCAGCTCTTCTTCACCACGACAGACCGGTACAACGCCCGCATCACTGCAGACGCAGCACCAATCCGACTATCGATCTCACGCTCCAGTTTTCCCTCACTCGTGAACAAGACCCCGTGATACTTAAACTCCTCCACTTGGGGCAGGACCTCATCCCTGACCCGGAGAAGGCATTCCACCCTTTTCCGAAATCAAGGATTTTCATAATTTTTACATGATTCTTTAAATTTTCATCACCAGCTAATTCACTGAAAAGTCCCGTTAACAAACTAAAGCAACAACTCATCACTTAGCAAACCAAAATCCACCATAACTGGCTTTATTTTATGAACACACACTAACGCGATCAGGCTCAGAGTGTGTCACATCTAAAACGGTCCGGGCGGAAACGACAGCCCCACTGACTTTATAAGTTAAGTTGCTGATGGTGATAGAGTCGTGGACCTTAAGTAAAATGCTAAAATAGTTTGTTTTTTTTTGTGTTTAAAGTTTCATGAAACTCAGAAAACAAGGTTTTCGTTTAGATCAACACAAAAATCATTCAGTTTAATCATCATCTTTCTCGACTGGGAAAAGGGTGGCTTGCCAACTCCGGGTCGGGAGAGAGGTCCTACCTCAAGTGGAGGAGTTTAAGTATCTCGGGGTCTTGTTCACGAGTGAGGGTAGGAGGGATCAGGAGATCGACAGGCGGATTGGTTCGGCGTCTGCAGTGATGCGGACGCTGAACCGATCCGTCGTGGTGAAGAGGGAGCTGAGCCAGTGTAACGGAATCAAAGTGATGTAACTATCTAAAGTTGTATTTTAATACACTGTTAGTAGTTCACTTTTTATAAACAGAAGAATAGGCTGTTTTTATCATCAGGGAGTTTAATTAAACACTCTGTATTGACTTTGAGACAAGAAAAGAGAGAGATATGGGATCGTTTGAGAATCTTTAATTTCTGAATTATAAATTCTAAACAATCTACCAGGACTACTCTGTGATGGATGAGAATGGATTCGGATGTTGTGTTGGTGCGTGTGTGTGAGTGCGTGTGTCTGGTTCAGATTCTCTAGGATGACGTAATCGAATCTGGTCGTCTTTGTTATGACTAGATATCACGAGGCTTATAAAGTGATGACATGAGCCGCTATTTTGCCGTGTACGTACCCAGTGGGGTCTCCCAAGTAGATCAGGAATTGCCAGGTCTGGAAACCTCGGATGTACGGTGGAGCTGTCGGTGCAGCGATCACAACGTTTCAAAGCCCGTCTGGAGGGTCGACCCGGTACCGTTCAGCGGCGTCAGCAGGTGCTCTTATTTTGAAAGGACGTCGTCTGGTTGTTAAACGACGAAAATCTCCCGTTTCACAGTTCTTAGTTTAAAGAAAACGCATCGGGCCAGGCTGCGCTTGTCTTTAGGATGATGGTGAATAGAACTGAAGTCAAAATGGAACTGACTTAAAATGGCGTTGCCTTGTTTTATATCTCTGAATTGTTGATAAGTTTCAGTAAAGTAGATTGGACACTTGAAGTCAACACCAGATTCTCCTGCGGCAGCCGAAAGCTCTGATTGGTTGGAACAATGTGTCATGCGTTTCTATGGAGATGAGGATCAGTATGTCTGCACCATAGTCCTGGTTTCATTAAACATAATTCATGACATATTTATTTCACAGATCATTCACTTGATTATTGTTGATCAACATCTGTTTTGCTTAATAATTTTAATCACAAATAAAGTACTTTGATTAGGTAAAGCTTCTTCTTCTCCTTCGGACTCTTCTGATGGAATGTAAACAGTCTGAGGAACAACCCGACCTTGGTTTTTCTACACGGTGTTATTGTGCCCAGGGGCCAGCTGTATGGAGTTGAAAACCATGAACTTCATAACCTTACATATCCCCCCTTTTCAAGGTCAATGTGGTCCTTCAAGAGACCACTTGGTCGTTGAACCAACCCAAGTTATGAAGAATCTTGACAACAGAACCGCATGCGATCCCAAGGGAACAGCCATCTGTGGTGAGGTACGAACCCCACGCCGGAGAACAGTCTCGCATACTCCTCAGGAAGAACACAAGTCAGCAGGTTATTAATTATTCCCCATGGAAGCCATAAACGAAGCAACAGCAACTTCATATCCTCACGGGCAATAAAGCAAGAACAGCATATAAACTGTTAAAAGATTGTCCCACAAAGTTGCCAATGTGATTGTTATTTCCTGTTTGTCAATTTTCAAAATCATTAGTTTAATTTGAAGAATTAAAACTTTTAATCCTTCAAACTTGTTTCCTCATTGAACTGAAACACAGACACTCAGATATTATCGGCAGTTTATGGATGAAAACAACCTTTGAGTCTTCTGAACAATATAAAATTTGGTTATTGATTTATTAAAATTAATATTCCGAATTAATACGTAGCATGGTTTATCTTTCACATAAGAGCATAAATCCATAACGCTACACCACAAAGCCAGTCTCTCGATTTACCGGTCGATCTACGTCCCAATCCTCACCTATGGTCATGAGCTTTGGGTAATGACCGAAAGAACGAGATCGCGGATACAAGCGGCCGAAATGAGTCTCCTCCGTAGGGTGGCCGGGCTCAGCCTTAGATATAGGGTGAGGAGCTCGGACATTCGGGAGGGACTCGGAGTAGAACCGCTGCTCCTCCGGATCGAAAGGAGCCAGTTGAGGTGGTTTGGGCATCTGGTCAGGATGCCTCCTGGACACCTCCCTGGGGAGGTGTTTCGGGCATGTCCTGCCGGCAGGAGGCCCCCGGGTCGACCAAGGACACGTTGGAGAGGTTACATCTCCAATCTGGTCCGGGAATGCCTTGGGGTCCTGCCGGAGGAGCTGGTGGAGGTGGCCGGGGAGAGGACGGTCTGGAACTCCTTAGTTGGGATGCTGCCCCCACGACCCGGACCCGGATAAGCGGAGGAAGACGGCAACGACATCATGGAGAAAATGTCAAAGACGGGGGCTCGAGAAAACCAGCAGACCGTTGCTGATCCTTCAGATGGGTCTTTGAACCAGGAACCATTCGGGTCTCCTGTCCTCTTCACGATCTTCAGAGACTTGATCTGACTCAGAGCTGTGCTGCAGTCTGGAGAAGACACAGACGAGTTTGGATCCTTTCCTTTCCCAGTTTTCTCACTCCTGCACCGCAGACCCGCTCCCTACCGTTCTCCAGAGTTATCTCTGCTTTCTTCTTCAGCTGCTCCAGTTCTGCAGCCTTTATCTGCTGCTCCAGCAGTGCCTCCTCCATCTCAATGTGTGACTGGGTGGGAATTTTGTTTTCCAAAAATTCCAGCTCTCTTTCCACCCGCTCAACACGCACAGACACACCGTCCACCTGACTCTTCACCTCTGATCTAAGGAGCCAAAAACAGCCTCACGTATTTCATTGATGATAATTCGAGGTGGATTTTCCGTTTGGCACGCAGACGGACTTACCTGAGCATGCTGAGCGAGGACACGCAGCCTCTGATTTCAGACGACAGGTCGAAGCTTTTCTGGGTGATGCCGAGTGTGTTTTGCTCACACTGATTCAGACGCTCCTGATTTTGTTTCCACAGGAAATAGTTAGAAAACAAGTTTTAATAAATAAACAGCGTCCACAAATCTTACAGGAACAATGAAAGCATAGTTGACATGAATACTCGCAGTGCTTTAAACGAAACTATTTAACCTGACCTGATGAGCATCAAGTTCATTCGCAATCTAGTTAGAATCGGACATTTTTCAGCTTCTGAATGATTTATTCTGACTGTGATCAACCAGAAACTTCTGCAAATCCAAATTCACCTCCTTTTATTTGGTTTTTACCCAAAGTAAGCTTTTCCTGCTCTGTAAACGTCACAGAGGCATCTTCTTGCAGCAGTTAGTCCGCCGCTCTAGAGCGGAAATGTCCTAAAAACACATTAAACTTTAAAAAGAAGTCCTCAGAAATGTCTTAGATCTCTACACTTTGAAAGATATCCAGATTCCCACAAAAGGACGACTTAATAGAAACCAGCCCGATAACTGAAAGGATGCCAGCGAACGCTGCAGCCAGATGAGCAGACATGTTCTCTCTAAAAAACCGGCGCAGAACGCAAAAGGCACCAAAAGGAAAAGCTTTTGAGACGAGTTCAGCTCAGAAACGACAAATGCAGGAAGAACTCACCTCCATCTGAACCAGTCTCCTCTCCAGGTACTGGATAATAAATGCATCCTGGGAAGAACCCTGGTTCTGGACGGATCCCAGAGTCAGACACAGAAACAAGAGAAACAAAGGAGTGGCTCTGCCTGACATTACGTCTGTTTTAAATCTTAAAACTCTCTCAAATCTGCAGCTGCTCTCACTTCCTCCGTGATGTACTTCTTCTATGAGCACCAGAGTGATAAGATATTTCCTGCAAATCGAGCTGATGGCTTCAGTCCCACTTCTTTCCTCCTGATCTCTCAAACTTCCTTGATTCTTGTGGTTTTGACTCCCGTCACAGTTTTACTTCCTGAACTTTCTGCCTCCTTTTTCTCATCTGATATCAGATCCAAACCAGCCTCACCCACAATCCCTCCCCGTCTCTCACATTTTTTCTGGATTTCTTTCCTTTTTTCCTTTTTGCATTTGTGGAATGAAGAAGAATCCTGATAGAGGAGGGGGAGAGAGAAAGAACCAGGACACTCCACTGGTTTATCCAGCATATTTGGGTTGTTCTAGAAGTTTTGTTTTAGATGTTTTAGATTTAGGTTGTTGGCTTGCCGTAATATGTAGCAATTGATACATGTTAATTATGACCAGTAAGATGTGATATTCCATATAAATGTGAAATATCAGTCTGATTGATCTTTGAATGTTTAATCTTTGAAGATTCTCTGGTTCTTTGCTTATTCGGGGATCATAAACACACTTCGTATTAATTCAGACAGAGTCAGTATGTAGTTTATAAAATGAATTTAGTTCTTTTTCCTAAACTAATAATTTATACATGACAAGACATGAATAATGAGATGTGGTGTGGTGGATGTGAGGTGTTGTGATGGAAGCTGGATGTCGTAGCAACCGTTCTTCGTATCTGAGAGTAATTTTGAAATCTGGGCGTAAAATAACGTGTTGTTTGTTATAAACTAGAGAGTTGTTTATTTATAAACCTCATCAGACACCAGTATGCAGGCTTACGGTACCCTGGTATGAGTTGCTCCCGGCGGTCTGGAGGGGTGCGGTCAGAGTGGCGAGGTCACCGGACGTCGAAACCACGATACTCAGAGATTAGTAGCTTCCTCTGAGTTCGGCTTCCCCGGCCATGAGATGCAACCCGGGGTCTGCAGGTTAGGTGTGACGTAGCTCTGAAAGGAGATGTTGTGTGTGTATCAGCTGCAGCGTCGCAGAAAGGTTTTGACTTAAGGTCAAAGGAGATGGTTTCAAAAGAGCCTTCTTTCCCGATCTGGCCGAATCGGGAGTCAGCTGGAAACTGAATTAATCGGGAAGTAATTCTTGTTTTTTTTTTAAACTACTTTGTGAATTTGACACGTTTCTGAGGATTTACCAGCATCCCTCAGAAAGCCACGCCCTCCTCAGATACAGAAATGTTTTCAACCTTAATGAGCATCTTATGGTAACGTGTATGCGTGTAAACAACGATTAACTTGTTAAAACAAACACACACTGATTTGTGATACAAATGGATCATTGTAAGAACAATATTCATTTTAAATTCATCGATTTAAGCACAAATTATTCAAACATTTCATTTAAACATCTTGTTCATTCATCACATATGATTATTTCACTTATAACTATGACATCATGGAGCCTTCACTTATTCAGAGTGAAGAACGCTGACGTCTGGCGTTCACGCAGAGAGTGTAGGAACCTTGGGTGAGAACGTTTGTTTGAATGTTTGTTTTCATGTAAACAGTGTAAACACGCGCTGAACAGAACCTTCTGGGTTTAGAAGGCCAAACAGGGAGAGGATGTATGCTGTAGATGAAAGGTTTATACGTTGGTCAATATATAGGTGAAAGTTGACCCTCTTGCTACGTTACAGAAATGTTCTCCAGATGGACACGTCCTCGGTGCTGCACAGTTGCTGGTCCACATTAGCTGCATTTATGCAGATCACAAGGAGCTAAACTGAACACGAATCATTAAAAAAGGCCTTCGTCAAACCTTCTGTACATCTGTCCGTGCATGCCCTCCCACCACGGGTGTTAATTAGCCCCACAGCTAGCAAGCTAAATGTTTTCCTTCGGTGGCTCATCCGACACTTTGCTAGCCAACAGGGTCGGCTTCAACACTGAAGGGCAGGTTTACGGGCAGTGATCTCTAACCACCTGCAGGATGTGGCTGGGAGAGACAGCTGCAACAATTTCAGCTCAACGTCTGCAAAAACACCCAGAAATCCATTTCTGTGTTGGCTAAGGTCAGTCAACAGTAACCACCATCTTGAATCTGACTGACTCAGTTGTGGATCTTTTATGAGAAACTTGCTAACAAACACTCAGACAGCAGGAAAACATTCGGAAGCATTAGAAAATAAAGAGAAATGTAAAAAAAAAAAAAGGGTGAACATCAGCTGTGAATTCCTGGTTTATCACTATCTGAGAATTCTGTCTGATTTAAGTCCAAAACCTGTCAGCTTTTATTTTCATAGTCTACGTTTTTTAATCTCCATCTAGTGCCTTCAGAACCATCTGGAACCGCTTCCTGCAGCTTTGTTGTGACAGACAACATCTGGTTAACTTCTGGTGCTGCATCAGATCTGCTGTGTGTGTGTGTGTGTGTGTGTGTGTGTGTGTGTGTGTGTGTGTCCAAAGCAAGACCAGAAACCAATAAAAAGTGCTCTTCTTTTCATCCTCTAAACGTTAACAGATTTAGTCTTGATTTCTGCCACAGGGTGGCGCTACTTCACCACAGATGCTTCAGTTCAGCACACAAACGCATGTGCGTCACCTACAAGTTACTTGTGGTTTGTAGCTGCTAGCGAAGGGATTAAAGGACAATCTGAGAATGAAAACAACGTTTCTAATGTTGCTTTTGAATTTTACATTAAAAGTTAAACACCAGAACCAACTGAGCCAAAAAAATATTCTGGGAGTGTTTTAAAAACTGAATATTTGGTCATTTTTCTCGAATGGAAGTAAGAAGTTTCAGATTTATACATTTGGCCTCGGGCCTTCTTGCAGAGTTTGCACATTGCATGTGTGTGTGTGTGTGTGTGTGTGTGTGTGTGTGTGTGTGTGTGTGTGTGTGTGTGTTTGTGTGTGTGTGTTTGTGTGTGTGTGTGTGTCATCTGTCTCCTTCTGTCCCGGTGACGGCCTGGAGACATGTCGAGGTGTAACCCCACCTCTGGCTGCAGGAGCACACGACCCTGCACAGGAACAAACGGGAAAAGATCGGATCGATGAATGGAAATAAAAACACGATTTAATGTTTGTTCTGAAAAGCATCGGATTGTTGCTGGCTCTGCACCTGTCTCATCTTCTGGGTGGGCTGCGCAGTGGTTAGAGCTGTGGCCTTGCAGTAAGAAGGTCCCGGAATCGCTTCCCGGCCTGGGATCTTTCTGCATGGAGTTTGCATGTTCTCCCTGTGCATGCATGGGTTCTTTCCGGGTCCTCTGGCTTCCTCCCACAGTCCAAAAACATGACTGTTAGGTTAATTGGTCTGTCTAAATTGTTCTTAGGTGTGTGTGTGTGTGAGTGTGTGATTGTTTGTCCTGTGTGTCTGTGTGTTGCCCTGTGATGGACTGGCTCTCTGTCCGGGGTGTACCCCGCCTGATTGCCCATTGACCGCTGGAGATAGACCCCCCCCCACCCCCCGCGACCCTACATGGACAAAGCGGGTTCAGAAAATGGATGGATGGATGGATGGACATGTTCTGGGTTACCCAGGTGAGCTTCAGTTTGATTAAGCAGCACCTGTGTCCCACACACAGTCCAACTGTCCCAGGTACAAATCATGACTAACAGAGAGCTAGAGAAGCACAAAACTAGAATAATTTAGTTTTACGCTTCACACTCGCATGGATGTTAAACAGGCTAGTTTTCTACACCTTTAGCAAACAACACAAAGAGAAGATAACAGAACTTCAAGTTAAAGCTTGTTTTTCCTCATGCTTTTACTGTGAAATAAAGCATGAAACCCTTCAGGGTAAATATTAGGATAGCTACAGAGAAAATACAGCCACGATCTTTCTTTTTCAGTCAAGCTGGAAAAGCATCATGTGCACGTGAAAACAAACGTGTTGTTAAGAGATTCAGGCCCTGTCCACACGTAGCCGGGGATCTGCCAAAACGCAGATATTTTTCTACGTTTTGGCCTGTCATTCACACGAAAACGGAGTTTTTTCACACGAAAACGGATCTTTTTAAAAACTCCGGCCAAAGTGAAGATCTGCGTTTTCTCCGTTTTGGGTGTCTGCGTGTGGACAGACAAAACCGGAGTTTTAAGGTCCGCAACGTCACTTTCCGTGACAAAAAAATGCTGACATCACGTGTGCGACCTGTGTTTACACTAGCCGACAGCATGGATGCCCTCAGAGCTGCGCTCGCTTTATCAATTGTCCAAGCGCTTTCTGCTTGTTTGTTTTTGCAAGCGGAATTACTGCTCCTTGCGGAAGACCACAGACGAAGGACGAGGTTAAGAACGGGGGAAGTACTGCCACCTACAGGTCTGGCATGTCCTTAACAACGTATTTATCCGGGTACGTGTGGACAGTTTTTTTTTAAACGAGGTGGTGTGGATGCAAGTTTTTGGAGGGGCGGATATTCGTTTTTAAAAAAAACCCGGCTACGTGTGGACTAGGCCTCAGGCTGGGCAGAATCTGTTCCGTTGGACACAGTGAAATGGAAATGTCAGTGAGAGGCAGGTGGGGGGTATAGTGTGTCATGGTCTGCGTCTCCCTCATGTGTCTCCTTGTCTGCAGCCCCCCCAGGTCCTGTGCTCCCGTTGATCTCCCCTAGTCACCCCGCTGTAGTTTTTCTATAAGGTTCAGCTTTTCATTTAATTAGTCTCTTTTAGTGTGTTTCTTTCCCCACCGTTTTTTTATTTCTCTTTCCTCCTTAGATCATTAGTTATTGATCTTGCTCTTCTTGTCTTTAGGTTTTGTTTTTATTCTTAGGTCATGTTATTTTCCCCTCCTCAGCTCACTTTCCTCTCTCTGATTAGTTAATTGATTTCACCAGGTTTCGTTCCCCACGCACCTGCAGCTCATCTCCCACTCATCCTACCCCAGTATATTTAACCCTGTCTGCGTCTCAGTGCGGTGTTGGTTCATTATTTCGTGTCAGCGTTGTTTTGCCCTCCCTCCCTCCCTCCCTCCCTCCCTCCCTCCCTTTAGGTCTCTAGGTTTTTTGGCTCTGCCCTACTTGGCATTTTTGGCTTCGTACCACGCTTTGTTTTTCGTTGGACTCATCATCTTAATAAAGAGGTTTCATTTTTCATCCTTTCCTGCTCCGTGTCGTTCTGGGTATCTGCACTTCGGGTCCTACTCCTCCACTTCTCAACGTGACACAGTGAAGACAAGCCGGCACTCTATAGCTCTGAATGTCA